TTTTTTTTTGTTTTTTTCTCACAGTGGGTATGTGGCATTGAAAAATTACTACCAGTACAGAAATTTTACAGTAGTTTTACCTACCATTGCTTTTGCATCATCACTGCAAATGTCCTTACAGTGAAAAAGCAAACACATAATGTCTTAGTATTATTTTGATAATAGTTTTGGCGTAGTCCCCCTGAAAACATCTCAGGGACCCCCGAGGGGTCTGAAGACTTTGAGATTAATTTTATTCTCCCCACTCCCCACTAGAACATAATTTCACAAAGGCAGGGTTTTCATTTTTTTCTTGTTCACAGACATATGCCCTGGTCCTAGATCATGTTTGACACATAGTAAGCACTCATTGAATTTTTGCTTAATTTAGTAAATGAAGTAATTGACCAGAACTAGATCATGACAGTAATGAGCTTCTGATCTGCATTACTGGAAACACATTAAAAAAATTATTTTATTGAATAGGTAAAATATACAACAGGGCACCTGGTGAAGTCTCCTACTTTGTTTTCCCCAAAGGGTTTAAAGTCCATTCTCAGAGATAATCGTTGTTGTCAGTTTCTTGTGTATCTTTCCATATATTTTATGGATTCACAAGGATTATATACACAAGTCTATTCCTTTCCCCTCTTACACATATGATGACATACTATACACAATATGGACTTCATAGTGCCTTTTTAAGGTTTTTTTCTTTTTTTGAATTTTAGATTTACCAAAAGGTTTTAAAGATGGCATACCCCCTGAAAACATCTCAGGGACCCTCAGGGGTCTGCAGACCTTACTTTGAGATTAGTTTTATTGTCCCCACTTCCCACTAGATTCTTATATACCCTCTACCCAGCTTCCTCTAATGTTAACATCATACATAACCATGATACCTTATAAAAATAAGAAACTAACAATCAGAACAATACTATTAACTAAATTACAGACTTTATTCAGATTCCACCAGGTTTTCTATTAATGTCTTTTTCATTCTAGGATCCAATCCAGGATAGCTCATCACATTTGGCATTGTTCCCTCCCACACCACCACAACTTAAAATACATCTTGAAGATTGTCTCATAGTAGTTAATATGCAGCTGCACTGCATTCTCTGCAAGGACTGTAGAACGAATCTCTAGAAGTGGAACTGCAGAGTCAATGATTATGTGTCTTTAAAAATTACTAAGCCCCTTTCCCCCAAGGAAATGACTAGACCCTTCTAACTGGTTTCTCTGTGATTTGAGTATAGCAAGTTACTTTGAAGTTCCAACATTAGGATTGGCAGTTGAAGGCGGGTTAAAAAAGTTTTGTTTTGATTTTAGTTCTGACACAAATACACATAGCATTACCATGATTTACATTAGTATTGTACTATGACCCACATATATTTGGTTTTTCTTAGAACCACTAGAGGGCTCTGCTAGAAGTGTTTTTATAATTCATTTCTGTCTACCTAGGGAAATGTTTTGGGATGATGCTTTACAATTCTGAACTTTCAGAATTTGAAAGAGATGATCTAATTCAGCTTCCTTGTTTTGCAGATGAGGAAACCGAGGTTGATCAAGATCTTGCATGAGGAAAGCTGGAATAAATAAAACCCTCCTATTAGTTCCAGGGAAAGGAGTTCAAGAAATTCCTTTAGGTCTCAACTAAATGATTCACCTCTAGTAGTGATTCCCCTTTCTGCTCCCTCCCACATTTTTAATAACTTTTGCAATGACCACGTATGTATGATATTTTTATAGAAGGTTGGGCAATCTACTTCCCTAGTGATGATGTTGTTGTTGTTGTTTGCCGTCGAGTGGGCCCCTACTCATAGCGACCCCTCCTTGGGTTTCCGAGGCAGTATCACTACGGAAGTAGGAATGCCCAAAACTTCTTTCCGAGGAGTGGCTGGTGGGTTTGAACCGCCAGCCTTCTGGTTAGCAGTCAAGTGCCTTAGGCACTATGCTACCAGAGCTCCTCTAGTGATGATACTGCCTCGGAAACCCAAGGAGGGGTTGCTATGAGTCGATCCGACTCTATGGTAGGGCAGTGAGTTTATAAGCCTAGCAATCACGTTTTAATTGCCTTTCAAACTTCCTTAACACTTAAAACATCTTCCTGTTATCTTTATTCATTCATTCTTTGTGAGTGCCACTAATGCCAGATCCCTCGCAGGCCTTAGTCCTATCTAAGTAACTTTGTTCCTTCCCTCCAATAGCTATTTCTCCAATTTCCATTTTATTTTCAGATGTCTTAGTTAAGTGGTTCTCATAGTTTGGTCCCTAACCACAGCATCAACATCATCTGCAAATTATCAGGCTCACCCAGTAAGTACCCCAGGGATGTGGGACAGCAACCTGTGTTTTAACGAGCTCTCAGAGGGATTTTGATACACGCTCAAGTTTGAAAACCATCTTTTTAATTCCACAGTTTGGTATTAATTACCTAAATAGATCAAAGACCAATATCGGTTGGTGTGTGTTCTGGTGTGTATATCCTTAACAACAAAATATACGTTAAAAAAAAAAAAAAAAAAATCAGTATCTGCTTCTGAACTCACCTCAGGCCTCTCCAAGGAGTATCCATTTCAAATGCACCTGATGGGACCCAACAAGGACCATACTTAAAGTAAGATTTTTCTAGTACTGATGGGAATGATTGTTGTTGTTTGCCATCGAGTCGGCCCCGACTCATAGCGACCCCTCCTTGGGTTTCCGAGGCAGTATCACTACGGAAGTAGGATTGCCCAACCTTCCTTCCGAGGAGTGGCTGGTGGGTTTGAACCGCCAGTCTTCTGGTGAGCAGTCAAGTGCCTTAGGCACTATGCTACCAGAGCTCCTGATGGGAATGATAGTGCCACTTTATGTTGTTGTTGTTGTTGTTATGTGCCGTCGAGTCGGCCCCGACTCATAGCGACCCCTCCTTGGGTTTCCGAGGCAGTATCACTACGGAAGTAGGATTGCCCAACCTTCCTTCCGAGGAGTGGCTGGTGGGTTTGAACCGCCAGCCTTCTGGTGAGCAGTCAAGTGCTTTTAGCCACTTTATAGTGTCCCTAATTTCAGAACCAACACAGGCCGGATTCTCCAGGGCTCTACCAAATGAAAAGGAGCTCTGGTAGCCTAGTGCCTAAGGCATTTGACTGCTACCAAGCAGGCTGGCGGTTCAAACCCACCAGCCACTCCTCCAGGAGGAAGATTGGGCAATCCAGCTCGGAGACCCAAGGAGGGGTCGCTATGAGTCTAATCGACTGGACCGCAGTGATTTCGTTTTTTTTTTTTGGTACCAAGTGAAAACGAGCTCTGGTTGCTCAATGGTAAAGCATTCGGCTGCTAACCAAAAGGTCGGCTGTTACAACCCACCAGGGCTCAGCAGGAAAAAGATTAGGCAGTCTGCTTCTGTCAAGATTTACAGCTTTGGAAATCCTATGGGACAGCTGTACTCTGTCCTACAGGATCGCTATGAGTCGGAATAGACTCCATGGGCAGTGGGTTTTTGGATGAACTGAAAATGGGCCCCACTGGGTTCTAGGATAGTATTTTCACAGACTAAACACAGCCAGGCACTGTAAGCCTGTGGGTTTGGAGCTTTGGTCCGGGTCAGGCTGAGTCAGGCCAGGAGTCCAGGTCGAGGAGAGAGTCTTGTGGGCCCCCAGCCGGGTTGGGTTCGAGCTTTGGACCAGAGGACAGGAACTAGAAGCCACGACCATACCACGCTGATTCGCCTAGCTGAGGGGCACAGTCAGGGACCCAAAAAACCGGGTTTGCGGTCCTCAGGCACGGAAACCGCACCCTCCTGGCTCCAGACGCCGGCGGGGCGGAGTCACGCGGGCGCAGCACCCGCGGAGAGACGCGCCGCGCGGCCCGGCGCTGCATCTCGGCTGAGGCAGATCAGAGGACACAGCGCGAGCGGCTGCACCGCCCGCTTGGGTCAGCATCGTGCGCATGCGTGGACCCGGCGCCATTTTGGTGGCCGGGCGCGGAGGTGATTCCACACTGAGGAGAGCGCGGCGGCCGAGGTGGCAGTGGCAGCATTCGTGTGCTCGAGTCTGAATCGCCGAAGGAGGAGGCCGTGGAGGAAGAGGTGGCGGCGGTGGCGTTGGTCGTAGCGGTGGCGGAGGAGGCGGGTACGAATCAGCTGCGGGCGGAGACATGGCCAACATCGCGGTGCAGCGAATCAAGCGGGAGTTCAAGGAAGTGCTGAAGAGCGAGGAGGTCAGAAATGAACTCCCGGTCATCCCCCACCTCAGCCCAGGGTGGGAGGGCCCTTCTGGCGGCGACCCCGACATCCTTGGTTACCCCTGGGTAGCCTGCCCTGCGGCCGCCCTACTGCCTGTGGGGAAGCAGTATCCTCCCCCCTCTTCCTTCCGCCGCCTTCCTCTCCCCTCCCAGGGCCCTGGGATGGACGGTCTTTGCCGGTGGGAGATCTGGGGTGGAACACGTTTTGGGGATCAGGTCAGAGAAGAGGTGCACTTCTCCTACGGGTGTGAGCTCTAGAGAGACCCTCGAAGCCGTGGCAGCAGCTGGAAGTGTGGCTGCGGATGGGGAGGGTGCAGGCCGAGCCTGAGAAAAACCGGGAAGTGGCATGGGGGAAGGGGAAAGGTGGTAACAGGATCCGACGGGAGCTTTGCGGCTTGAAGGCCCACACTTTTAAGGGTTTTCTGGGTTATTGCCTGTCAGGCCTTCGCCATCCTTTCCTTAGGAAAGGAGCGATGAGAGCTTCTAGGTATTGATGAAAGGAGGAAGAAAGACAGAATTACTCCTTCAGTTGGGTGTTGGGAAGGAATGGGAGACCTAATGGTATATTCCATCTTATCTGAGTGAGGGGATTAAGGAATTTCACCTGAAATAGGAAATTGATTCCAAATTAGATCATTATGTCATTAACACTTACCCCCAAATTCTGGGCTGCTGCTTTATTGACATCCAAAGGTTTCTGACGAGGTAAATGCAAGTTGTTTGATTAAAGCATTTAAATATCTTTAGAACAAATAGTATGGTGTATGAGCAGCTTATTTCAAAATACTGTTTACAAGTTACAGATCAGAGTCTCTCCTAAGACAGTGCCTCTGTTGACTCTGTAGATGTTATACCATGAAACTTGATTATCATTTCCCCTCATAGTTCACCTAAATCTTATTTTTGAAAAATAGCCCTATGCAAAACATGAGATTTCAAAAACAGAAACAAAACAAGAAAACCCATGGGATTTCACCAGAATAGTATGTTGTTGTATATCTCTCTATTAAGGTGAGTAGTAAGTTTAGCAGGACATATATCTAAAGTGATTTTAAAAAGATAATTTATCTTAAGCTGTTCTTGAGTCTTAGAGTTGTAGGTACTTTAGTGCTGCTCACAATTACTTATATAAGAGATTGAAAACATTATACTAATTTAATTCAAAACTATGTCAGTATCAGTAGTTTTTCGTACCCGAATGAACAAAAATACCAAGTTGTTTTCCCCACTTGAGTTTAACAAAGAAAGACCAAAAAGTTACACTGAAAATCATCATTGTTTTGTAGATGTCACTACCATTGTTGAGTATATCTGTATTTTTTGCCTTGTGTTGGTGCTTTGATAATGTCAATTATTTTTGAAATTCAGCGTTCTAAGTCTGTGATGTAATTGACATAAGTCTGATAGCACTTGGGCTTTATTTGTGCCACTGAGTCTACAGTGATACTGTATCTTTCCATATAAACATTGAGAAAATAATTATTTAAAATTATTCAACCATGACAAATGCAGATTTATTGAATGTGTGTAGTATATAAGTAATGATCTGTTTTACAGAGCATATGTATGAACTCTGACACATTTGTTCAAGTGCCAAAACTCTGAATGGAAGGATGACTTTGTATTTTTGTGGTACAGTGCGGAAATAGAGTACTGATACACAGTGAAAAAAAGATTCTGACTTTTTATTTAATTCCTGGATAGTTGACAAAGCAAATAAAAAATTGCAACTAATATTGTTCTCAATAGCCTAAAACATACTTTTTTTATAGTAAGATTGTGCAATCTGAAACTTAATAGACTTCTAATACCTTATTTTCCATTGCTGAAAGGTGGTAAGGTTTACTGCTGTAGTATTCATATTGGTTGATCACTTTACTTATTATGAGATGACTTTTCACCATGATATTCTTAGTACTTAGGTTGCCAGAAATACTTATATTGCTCTGATAATGGATACTTTAAAAATAATACTGTTACATGTAAGGGATGATGTAGACTTACTTCAAATAAGTGTCATAGTATTTTAAGAGGAAAAAAACAGGAAATGCAGACAGAAGAGTTATTTTTTTATTTTTTGAGAACAGTACCCTTATGAAAGGAAACTTCTTACGAGAAAGTAAGTTGCAAAGAACATTTAGGAAAAGAGAGAGATGATTTAATTTTGGAATAAATATAACCAATAAAGAACTTTCTTTTCTTTTTTTTTTAAATTGTGATTTGGGTGAAAATTTACAGAGCAAATACACTTTCCATACAGCAGTTCACATACACTTTGTCTCTTGACATTGACCACAGTTTACCACAATGCAACATCTCCCCTCCTACTTCCTTCCGATAGTTACCTCTTCCCTGTGTCCATGCCTCCATGCACTCCTGCCCCCTGAGCTGTCTCTCTGTGCATAAGCAGCCCTTCTTTCTATAAATAGCTTTATTTTCACTGACTTTTTTTGTTACCAACTCTGCAGGACTTGTAGTATAGCCCATGTTATTTCCTTTTTACATTTTAAGTGGGTAAATGCAGTATTTTGAGTAGCTGGTTAACTAATGTTTTTATCATGTTGTTTTATGCAAAATCTCCAGGTTACCAAAGTTTATTTCACATGCTCATGTTTACACAGAATATTGGTTAATTTAAGTAGTAGTATTATTTTGGCCTTTTAAGTGCCTATGTAAAAATAATTAACGATTGCTGAATTCTGGTCATAAGAGGTTATAAACAGCCATTCTTAGAGTGTGCTTTTAATTAAAATATAATGTCCAAGATACATTTAAAAAAAGCAAGATGCAGAATAGTGTGTAGAGGGCCATGATTTGTGTCAGAAGGAGGAGTATTTGTGTATGCGCTTATACAGGTGAAAGGATTAATGAGAAATTAGTAACATTGACTGCCTCTGTGGAGGGGAATTGGGTGTTTGATGTATAAGGGTGTATAGCGCTCTTGAATTTTGAGTCATGCAACATGTTATTTACTCAAAGTAAATAAAACTCACTCACTGCTGTTGAGTCGAATCCGACTCATAGTGATGCCTCCTTGGGTTTCTGAGGAGGTATCACTACAGACGTAGATTGCCCAGCCTTCCTTCTGAGGAGTGGCTGGTGGGTTTGAACCACCAGCCTAGCAGTCAGATGTCTTACGCATTATGCCACCAGAGCTCCCCAAAGTAAATAAAGTAGTAAATAAAAGCACCATCCAGACCACATTTTTTAATTTGAAGACTGGAAACTCATCTTTTTATAATCAGATATAAGCGTTTAAATCTTAGGATGAATTAAATGATGTTTGAAAGTTGTTAGGGTTGGAAAATTGACTGAAAGTGAATTTTATGGTAGGTTGAATTATTTTGGGGTTGAGTTACATAAGTGAATTAATTGTGACGGTATAGTAAAAAAAAGAAAGTAGTAGTATTCAGAACTTGTATTATTTACTACCAGTTATTACTGCTAACAGGAGCTCTGGTGGCATAGTGCCTAAGGCATTTGACTGCTAATCAGAAGGTGGTTCAAACCCACCACCCACACCATGGAAGGAAGACTGGACAGTCTACTTCCATAAAGGTTTACCACCTTGGACACCCGAAACTCGAAGCAGGTTGCTGTGAGTTGGAATTGATTTGATGGCATTGAGTTTGAGTTGTGTTTTTGGTATTGATGCTAACAGCTAACTGCCACTTCATTTATATATTATTACTAATTGTTAGTAACAGATCTGAGAATTAAGAGTACCTGTTTCTTGGATGAGAAAACTGAGATTCAGAAAGGTTAAATAAGGTAAATTATTTGTCTGCAAATATATAGCATTGGGATTTGGATCCTGGTCTGTTTGTTTCTACACTGTCATGACTTGCCAGTGATAGGCATGCTTTTAATTATTTAAATAAATGTTATCTGTAATTAACTTAATACAAGATTTAGTTGAATTTCAATATGCACAGTATTTTAAAATTTGAAGATTAATGAATTAAAATGCCCCTAAATCAACACACATAACTCTTGCTTGTTCTTATACGATATGGTATCTGTATTTTTTCATATTGCAGTTGCACATTGGCAGCATTTTCTAGGCCTCTTGAACCAAAAAAAAAAAACCTCACCATTGAGTTGATTTGACTCATAGCGACCCCCATTGGGTTTGCCCCATCTTCTTTCCATCAGACTCTTATAGGGAATGCTTAAATCTATGTCATAAACAAATTGCTTTCATAGAAGCTAGTCTTGTATATTAAGTTTGCTTCAAACATTTAAATGATGTTGTGTATCATTTACTTTTTGGTTTAGGTTATTCCATATAGAACTAGTTGTAAATCTTAATTCTTGATTTCTGTAGACCATGGTTTCTCAACCTCAGCATTGTTGACATTTTGGGTGGATAGTTTTCATGGGTGGCTCTCCTTTGTATTGTAGGATGCTTAAGAAGCATCCCTGACCTCTGCATACTAGATACCAGCATTACCAGTTTCCACCTCCACCCCTCTTGTGACAACCAGAAATTTCTCTAGACATTGTCAGTTGGTGAGAACCACTTAAAACTCTTTTGAAGAAAAAAATGTGAGATACATAGTATAATTTATCTAAAGAATGAGTAGACAAAGAATATATAGCAAGGCCACTACTGACTTACAATTTTCTATTTTAGTCTTTAAAATTTTAAGTTTTTCCTCTTTTTTAAAAAAAAAAAGAAAAGTTTTTTTTTTTTAAAAAAAAAAACAACAGTAACAACAAAAAAACAGTTATGTAAGTTATAGTCTATAACTTACCTTATAGGATTCTGGGTATGGGTTGGGTAATACAGCAATACTGTTTGAGGTGTATTTCTTGTTTTATTTATTAGAAAGACTCATCTCTGTTCATCTGGCATCGACTTAGATGCATCTGCAAGCCACCTCTGTGTAAAGAGTATACATATACTCTTATTTCTTGGTAAATAGTTTATCAGCAGTTATTGGGCATATTAACTACAGCCTCAAGAGACTAAT